ACATTACAACTTAAAAGTAAAAGTCATTTGAGAATTTTTTTTTCATTTGTTTTTTAATAAGCAGATGAGAGCCATTGTAGTGTATCCGTAGGCTGAGTGGGAGATAGACAGACAAGATGAGGAAGAAGCGACATTTTGGAGCCTGGTTAAGAAGGTGGTGGTAGGCTCAGGACTCACAGCCTGTGTGGAAGATGAGCTCCCACAGGACAAGGACTGCCATCTCCCCTCCCTTGAATAGAATAAAGGTAGGGTTTATCAGAGCATGGGAAGGTGCTTAGATGAGTCGTTGTCAGACTTCCCCAATGGTGAACGTCGTCTGCCCTGAACTTCAGGGCTGTTTCTACTCCATTTTGTTTTCCTGCACGTCCTTAAACCTACACCTGAGTTTTACTTCTCCCCTGTAGTTCAGTGCCCTGTACCCAGAGAGTCTTAGGAACCATTTCACCACCGTGGTTTTCACATCTGTTTCTACTCTTATCTCAGCTGCCTCGTTAGAAGGTAACACCCCCCCCCCCAGGTAAGCAAATACATCTTCAGTGGCCTCTCCAGCCCTGTGGCCCTGTGAAGTCGCCTGCTGAGAGTGGAGCATTGTCTCAGGCAGCCCTGCCCTGCTTCCTCACAGCCCTTCTCTTCACTTCCTTAAAGACCCCTGTGGACTGTCATGCCTTGCCACTGGCCTGCCAGATACCACCACTGAAACTCTTGAAAGCAACTGCTGTGTTCTTCCCATGGTCCACAGCGAGCTCATGGTGCCGTGTAGTTTAGAGCTTCTGCTAGAAGCGGTGTTGTGTGTTGCATTTCATGCCCAAGCACCCTACTAGATACCTTCCTTGCCTGAGCATCTCCAGGGGGACAATAGCTTCTCAGACGCTCTGAGAATCAGAGAGGGCTCCTAGAACCTTTCCTCTTGATCATTACCAGGGGCAGAGCCCAGCTGTTTTACTTCAGACATGTAGTGGCACCTCTGTAGCAAGGGAGGGACGGAAGGAACTGCCATGTTCCATGTCCCTCATGCCTGCTTTCCTGCTGAAGGCACCAGCCAACTAGATGGCTTACCAAAGGTCACGTCAGAGGGACAGCAGAACCTAGTTGTGAACACTGATTTTGCTGTGAATCTTGGGGATGAAAATCAGAATTCAAAATGAAGCGTTTTCAAGCAATGAAATAAGACCTTCACCCACTGTCACAGGGACAAAATTTCTGTCTCCTGGCCACACCACAACAGCTCAAGTCTCATTTCCCTCTAGTGCAGTGGTTCTCAATCTTCCTAATGCTGAGATCCTTTCATAGTTTCTCATGTTGTGGTGACCCCAACCATAAAATTATTTCATTGCTACTTCATAACTGTAAATTTTCTACTTTTATGAACTGTAATGTAAATATCTGGTATGCAGAAAATCTGATATGTGACCCCCTCACTAAGGGGGTCGAGACCAATAGGTTGAGAAACACTGCTCTAGTGCGTGTATGTGACAAAGACTTGGTTTCCTCTGCTTCCTTGTCTTTAGTTTAGAAGTTCCTACACCTGCCAACAGATCAAGATGGGAAAGGAGGTAATGATCTCTCTGGGGACTGGAAGATAACCAGAGGAGTGCTGAGATTGGATAGTGAACTCCAGCTTCTTTTCTAGCAGATTCTAGCCTGAAGACAAACTGACTTAGAACCCAACAAGGTCTGCAGACTTGGGAGCAGCCCTGTGCTTCCAGGCTCTGGGGCACAGTCCTCAGCGGCTCTGTCCTGTCCCCGCCCCCCCCCCCCCCCCCCCCCCCCCCGCCCCACTTGCTTCAACAGCAAGAGCAGGTCTGTGGGATAAGTGGAGCTGCTGCTGGGTGGCAGCCTTGTGACAATTTGATTCTACCCTTGTCTTTCTCCTGTTAGAAGACAAATCTGAGTCCCAGTCAGTCACTGCAGACCTCACCTGAGGGAGGGCCTAGTGAAGGAGCCGGCTCTCCCCACCTCCGCACCCCTCCTCTCCCCCACCTCCCTGCCCCCCTCCACGCTCACCCTGAAGCCACCCCACAGTTGGGGCCAGTTGGTCCAGACCTTCCTGTAAGAGTCAGCCTTCCTTCCAGCCGCGCACTACCTGCCCTTTGCTGTCCATGGCCTCTGCTTCCCCTCGGTCTTTTCCAGACACTTTCCTCTTGGCACCTTTGGCTTGTGCTTTGGCCATGCTGGCCAGGATGGCCTTGCCAGGGCTGTGAGAAACATCGGCAATCAGCTACCTGTCCCAGGCGCCACCACTCCAGGCAGCCTGCTTGGTTCCAGTCAGGAAAGGGTTTCTGCATAGCAGGCTTTTTGAACTCAGTGTTCTCTGTGTGGAAACCCAGAGGTGCAGGAGTCATTTCACATCTAGTTATTCACAATTTTAAATGAGCTCCATTAATAGTTTTTTAAATCAGAGGCATCTTAATGAGGTGCTGATATTTTTCAGAGGATAATTTTTTTTAAAACATTTGCATGGAATAGAATAGGATGTCTAAAAGTTTTTCCACACCCCTGTATCTATAAAGTATAGAAATGAATATGTATTTGAGGTGTATTTTGTTTCTTCATCATCTATGTTATGACTTTTAGCTAAAAATAAACATACATACACATATATTTTTTATTCCAAATCTTTAGATATGTACCTAAGAGTTTGTGTGATTCTTAAGAATATCCTACCTGTTTGCCCAGCTGTAAATTGACTGTAAAATGCCCTCTCCCTGAGACATGTCAAAATGATGCTCAAGGCAGTGGGCCTGAGTCTGGGGCCAACAGCACTGTGCTGTTTTAGGATGTAGGTATGGAACGGGTACCTCCTTAGACAATGTGTTTCCCAACCACATGCCTGCAGTCTGTAGTGGCACTGTGTTTGACCTGACGTTCTGAACAGTGGCACCCCATGGTGTGTGCTCCATGAAGAAGGGAGTGACCTGAATCCGGTGGCTGTGCAAAGGAGGCAGGACCCAATCTCCTCAAGGGTTTTGTCTGTGTGTTTCCTCCTCCTCCCCCCCCCCCACCTTTTCCACGAAAAGCCCTTTGTCTTCTTCCGCTGGCCCTGGTCATGGACTAGGTGTTGATGTGAGTAGTTTTCAGACTGGAAATTAATGAGCTGTTCTACCAAGAGAGGCCCGCCTTCTGCCCCATGTGTCTGCTGCTCCCAGGTTTCCTCCACATGGGTCTTCCTTCGCTGGTTTCTCTGTGGGCAGCTGCCCCTGGCTGACATCCCTCTATTGGCTTTCCCCAGAGGGAATTTCAAGGAACTATTTCAGTGCACATCAGCTGTGCGTCCCACAAGTCCTGAGCCATGGGAAAGCCAGGCAGCCTTGCTGAGGAAGGAAGGAAGTTCCCAAAGGCTCTCCTTTGTACGTTTGTGAAGAAGGCTGGTACAGAATTTCGGGGATGCAGGAATGAAATGGAGGAAGGGAAGTTAGGAAAAGGCGCTATAGGAAATAGGAAGCACCACTGAGGTCGAGGTTGGTAGTGTCCATGTGGGTGGTGGAGAAAGGCTGTCTGTCTTGACCAAGAAGGCAGAGGTGCCCATTCGGCAAGAACGGGTGCTTCTCATAATCCAGTGCACTGCCAGTGTGCATGTGCACAAGCTCCGGTGAGGGACAGTAGGCATAGACACATGACTGCTAGTCAGGGCTCAACAATAAGAGGGACCAAGCAAGCGACAGATGTGTAGAGTCGGGAAGAAGGGCATCTAAGAGCTTTGTACAGCTTGCTGCAGAATTTTGTGCATAAATACTTAACAGTGCTCAGAGCACTCATTAGATTTTAAAGCAGTTCTTATTCCTCCAGCTTATGTGACAGCAGATAGCCCTTTCATTGGGTGGTACTTACCTTCATTTGAGCATCATCTACTACAGAAGAGGATACAGGCCGCAGGAGGCCATATGCCAAGACCTGGTGTGGGAAGGAGTCCATTAGCTAGCTCACTGGGAAATATGAGAATGGTCACACAGAGTGTAAGCTGCCACCATCTGTCAGCAGGCTGAAAACAGGCTGCCTAATATACATGTACACACAGCAGGGTTGGGGGCGGGCACCAGTTTTGGAAGGAAATGAAGGAAAAGAAAGAAGCTATATCTCCAGGGAAAACTTTGAGACCATAAGAATGTAGAGATTACAGCCCTGCCCCTTTAGAGGAGGCTGGGGTTCCATTCAGGAAATGTGGATATGCTCAGGACTCAAGCCTGGGTGGCCTGGATGGCTTCTTGTAGAGAGGCCTTCAGCTGCATCTGCCTGCAGACTGCTTGCCAGCCCCTGGGACTGGCTCTGTAGTTATCCTTGCCTGTAGCACGCAGGCCTCGTGAGTGCCAGACATGAGGCCTGCTTGCCATAGTAGAAGACATGAACTCATAGAGCCCCTTGTAGTTTACAATAGGGGTAGTTCTTGGAATAATCTGAAAGTACAGTTTTAGAATTTTTGAAAAAAAATTAAAGTCTAATATTACAGATTCCAGACGCCTTATAAAGGTCTTTGCTCTGAGTGAATAAACATGTGAACACTTGCTGCTACTCTCCAGGTGCCCATGTTGTCATTTTTAAAAAGTTGCAGTTCTTCTGTTCAGGGAGGGTGAATAATCATAAGGCTCACCACGACTGTCCAGAACGGAAGCTGTGCTTGATAGAGATTAAGTGTGTGGACAGCTCCTGGGCTTTCCCTCTTGCTTTCTCTAAGCCAGCAGCCAGCCCTCAGAGCCCCATCTGTCATGTCTTAGGCTTCCCATCTTCCTTTCCCTGCTTGTGACATTGATGACGGCTCATCCAAATGAGTAGAAACACTTCCCGTGGGCCCTTAAGTGCAAGTCTCCCCTGTGGCCTTATTTTGTGCCTGGGAAGGTGCATAGACCTCAGCTGTCTGTTGAATTCTGCCAGGGCCTGGAGTCTAAACCGTCTGAGGGAGCAGCTTCTGTGTCTGGTCCATTCATATGACGCCAGTCAGAGCACACAGTCAGTGCTCCGTTGAGTGTGTGTGTGAGCAGTTGAGCACAGTCTGTCTGTCTTTGCAGATCCTTGAGGAGTGGTTTGGCCGCACCGTCATCCGCTCCTGCACCAAACTGAGCTACGACCATGCCCAGAGCATGATTGAAAATCCAACTGAGAAGGTCCCTGAGGAAGAGCTGCCCCCCATTTCTCCAGAACACAGCAGTAAGGAGGTGCAGCAGGCAGTCTTGAACCTGCACAGCATTGCAAAGCAACTTCGCCAGCAGCGCTTTGTGGATGGTGCGCTCCGTTTAGATCAGGTCAGTCCATCTGTTTTGTTTAGTGCAACCTTGAGTTGGGCTTGTGCCCAACACCCCAGGGTGAGAGGCAGCCTGGTGGCCTCTTTCTCTCTGCCTGTTTTCCCTGCCACTCCACCATGCCACGGTAACATGAGTCATGGCAAGATGGACTCTGTAGGTAGCTCTGTGACTCCAGCTGCTCTTACCTGGAAAGCCCGTGTCCAGGACTGAATTCTCGCTTGTTAGATGACATTGCTGTGACAGGTGCCTGGGAAAGACAAGGAGGAAGGACTTGTTTTTGGCTTGTGGCTTTAGAGGAACGTGGAACTTGGCTCTGTGGCTTCTGGCCCACAGTGAGAGAGAAGACATGCGAGAAGCACGTGGCCCAGCAGGGTTTCATGGCAGCCAATAAGCAGAGAGAGATAGAGAGACAGACAGACATGTGAAGGGGCCAGAGACAAGATAGACTTTCCAGGGCACACCCCAGTGATATCAATGAACCGAAGAGCTAGTCCTTTGAGATGATAAACAAGATTGACAGAGCCCTTGGTCTAACTAGCCCAAAGAAAAAAAGAGGACCCAAAGTAACAGGATCAGAAATGAACAGGGAAACATTACAGCAGACACCAAAGAAATTCAGAGTTTCATAAGGGAATACTTTAAAAACCTGTACTCCATTAAGTTGGAAAATCTAAAAGAAATGGATGAGTTTCTAGATTCAGCCAAACCACCAAAATTAAACCAAAAAGAAGTCAACAACCTAAACAGACCCATAACAAATGAGGAGATTGAAACAGTCATAAAAAGCTTTCCAGCTGAAAAAGGAAAGTCCAGGGCCAGATGGATTCACAGCAGAATTCTACCAGACTTTCAAAGGAGGTCTTCAGCCAGTCTGACTTAAACTAATCAAAAGAACCAGAACCAGAAGGAGCATTCCCAGATTTCCTCTCTGAAGCCTGTGGGTCTCTGTGTCTCCAGTTGTGTCCCTCACAGAGTCTCTTCCTCTGCTCCCTACTTTGCGTTGGTGTCTGAGGATGGAGCCCACTGTCCTCTCGCCTCCATCCACAGCCCTGCCCTGACTCTAGGTGTCTAGGTTGTTACTAATGATGAAGAGCCTGTGTCTAGCTCTGGCCTGCCTCCCTAGCTGTCTAGTCTTGCCACCTGCCTTCGTAACTGCCGGGATGCCCCTCAGCATCTCCCCGGTGCTCACTCACCCTTCCTTCTGCAGGAAGTGGTCTTGGTGCCCACAGCATGATGCGCAGGCTTCCTGGTGTTCTCTTCTCTCGGATCTACTGGGGAATTAGATATGTGTGCCCCCAGACCTGAGTGTGCCAGCTGCACAGGCTACTGAACTTCTGCGTTGACTAAATATCACACAGACTGATCAGATACAAGTTTCAAAAGAAAGCCATTTATTGGGGCTGGAGAGATGGCTCAGTGGTTAAGAGCACTGGCTGCTCTTCCAGAGGACCTGGGTTCAACTCCCAGCAACCACACGGCAGCTCACAGCTGTCTGTATGAGGGGCACCCCATATAGACATACATGCAGGCAAAACACTAATGCACAGAAAATAATAATAAATAAATCATTAAAAAAATTTTTTTAAAAGCTGTTTGTTTTGTAAACACTAATGTTTTGGAAAGACCTGGATGAGATAAATCTTCAGAATTTCTCTTCTTAGGTAAGACAGCTGTATAGCCAGCTGAGAACTCCTCAGCCTTGGGAGGCATCTGGACTCAAATCACTTTACAAATGAATTGTGGGCTTAGGGGGTCTGCAGCCAACGAACTGGCTTCGGTCTCCTGGAAGAAGATGATGGAAATCTATGGTGTTGGCACCTGTAGTCCCAGCACTCTGGAGGCTGAAACAGGAGGAGTGAGAATTCAGGGCCGCGTGAGATGAATGTCAAGACCTTGTAGCAAAAGAAGGAAGAAAGGGAAGGAGAGAGAGGAAGGAAACGAAAGGAGTAAGTTTAGTTTTCTCTCACTCTGTAGCTCAGGCTGGACTTACTTGAACTCACAGCTAGCCTCCTGCCTCACTTTCCAAATGGTGGGATTACAGGTGTGAACCACCACACCAGGCACCAGCTTTTGTTTTTTAAAGCCTTACTCTTTTCAAAAATGGTAAAGAAATGTACATTTATGTAAATTAACTTATAAGACAAAATGTTAGCTGTGTATCTTGTGTGCCTCTTCTGCATAGTCCCCTTCTTTACTTGGCTTTTACAGTGACAGGCAGCTGTTTCTCAAAGCCCAGCAAATGAGAGGGTTCTGAAGCACCGTTGTGAGGTGTGTCCCCATCAGGCTTCTGAAACAAGTTCAACTGGATTAAATGGTCTGTGAACCGGGGAAGAAACAAAGGCAACCGCAGCTCCCTCCCATTCAGAGAGGTGTGGCCATCAGGGGCATGACCACAGGTTATTGATGGAGGATGAGCTGTTGGCATGTCTGAGAATCAGGATTTTATTGCTTAGGAGACTTTAGATATCTGTATCTCAGTGGCTCTCTTCACTCATCAACTAGAAGGCTGATGTCCCCACAGGTAAATGAGTCACTTCCAAGTCAGACTTCCAAGCAGCTCTTTGTTTGGTTCTCCTCCGTTTATTACACCATGCTGACAGGAGAGGAAAAGTTCGCCTTGAAAGTGAGGGGGAGCACACCCTCACAACCTAATTAGGTTCCAGTTAATTAACGTTTGAAAATAATGAATCTGTATCCTTGGAGTTGATTCCTTAGTTCCCCAGAAAACAAGTCTGTAGACCCCCACATTAGATGGAGACATCCATCTTTGCAGCCAAGGACACTGGTGAGACCATTTATAAATCAGCCAAATGGCCTTTTTCAGAAGCCACTGCATTTGTTCCTGTTCCTAGTGCCTTCGTCACCCTCCCAAGCCCATTTTCCCTTGGGGCCTTTTCAGAGGCCTGCTGTTTGGAGTCCTCTGAAGCTTTGTCTGCCATAGTTCTCTGTGCCATGTCTTGAGTGGCAGTCCTAAAAAAGCACATCCTTTTATGTCAGCAGCAGTTAGAGATCAGTGTCAGCTTTGTCTTTCGAGAAATCAGTGTGTTGGATGACCCTGAGAGTGAGCAAGGGTGGAGGATGAGGTACTAGTATGTTCCAGGGACATAGGCTTGGTAAGTGCAGAAAGGCAGAGCAACTTGACCATGGGACATTTGCAGTCAGCAACTTAGGCCTCAGCTGCCGGTCCCATCTGAGACAGTGAGCTTCAGTCCCGGCCCAGCTGCCTGGCTCCAGGCCCTAAGGCAGCAGCTGACAGGCTTGTTCCCTAGCTTGGTATGCTGGCCTGTGCTGGGAAACAGTATAGAATGCTGCTTTGAGGCAGAATAACTCAGTTCTCAATGGCGCTCACCTAGAGCTGGCCCCTGATTTTAACAAAGTTCTCTTCCAAGAGGTGACTCTCCTTTGTTTCATTGCCCCAAAAGTGACACAGGCCTCCAAGACCACCTTGTGATTTTTGGTCAGCTGAGTTGAATAATGACCCTTCTGAGTGGCTTGTCTCCAAATCCACATTTTCTGCTGCCAGTGTAGTTCAAGGACTTGGTACAGATGACTGCTTTATTTTAATTATTTTTTTAACAGTATACGACTCTCCTCCATCCTAAAAGGGAGCTTCAGTCATGGGACCAAGACTTCTTTCTATATGTGTGAAATAAAGAAATCACAGTGGTTTCTAATATCCACACCCTGAGTGTGATGCAGTGGGCGCTGTCGGGGGGCTGCTGTCTCTGACTTGCACAAGGCCTTCCCTCAGCAGAACTGCCTGGCTTGGTGCACATGAGACCCTGTGTCTCCTTTAGGCTTCTAGCTTAGCTATTGCCTTCAGAAAGGGTATGGTGGGAAGGTAGTGTGGCATCAGATGGGTCCCCAGGACTAAGACATCTTCGAAGTACTGGCTGATGGCAAGACACCCCACCACTGCTTTCTGAAGCTCTCCTCACCTCATTCTCTTCTGCCGGGCTAAGGCTTCTATGAGGAATGAGCCAGAAGCTTGCAGAGTCAGCCAGGATCCTCCAGCAGGCAGCTAGAACTGTGACTCTCTGAGTCCAGAGAGCCTTGGAAATCAAGTGAAGGGAACTGGGGGTAAAGTAAAGGAGACTTGACTAAGTTCTCAGCTCTATCTTCCATGAAGCCTACTTGACAGTTTTGGGGCCCAAGTTCCACACAGTTTCTTTATAAAGGTAGCCTTACTAATGGAAGTCAGTCACTTTTGACTACCCTGGGACTCAAGCTGTGGAATGCTGTTCTGCTTGACCCTAACCTAGTCTCAGCGTTGGCAGGTTTTCCCAGGAAGGGCCAGATAGTAAATGACGTGAGCTGCTGGTCCATATGGTCTGACTCGGACTGAGCCCTGCCTGGTCATGTGAAAGTGCCAAGCACTCCGAATGAATGGGGTAGCTGACATGCAGTAAAATTTGAAGGTCACTGAAATTTGGATTTCATATCATTGTCAGATTATTTTTCAACCATTTAAAAATGTAAAAAGTCCTTAGCCCCTGGCCCACACAAAGCAGGTCTGCCTGTGGTCCACACTTCACTGACCCCTGCTTAACTGACCGGCAAGGTTTTCAGCCCTATTACCCAAGGAGCCTTTAACAGCTCATTACCACTTCCCCAGGAAGCCAGGCTAGGTAATGGAGAACAGTTGGGCTAAGTGAGTTCTCAGGATGGTTCCTGCAATTAAGTAAATTATTCTTTTGATTAGTACCACGCTTAGTGGGTCCAGCTGGAGGCTGGGAGTGAGAGTGGCTGATGCCTTCAGCACCAGTTCTCACTCTCTTTAGACAGTGGGAGGCCACACAAGCAGCACTCTCCTTTCTCCTCTGCAGGGTCCTCAGGGTCAGGGCAGCCCCCCTCCCCTGCTTTCCCCTCCCCTCCCCTCCCCTACTCTTCTCTTCCCTCCCCTGCTCTCCCCTTCCCTCCCCTCCCCTCCCCTCCACTCCACTCCCCTGGCCCTCTGAAGGTGGGGACCTCCCCAGGAAGAACAGGCTGTGAGGAAGCTG